GGTTTGATTTCTTTGTATGTATGGATCACTTGGGTTGTTACCGACATCTGGTGAAAATTTCATGTCATTAGCACCTCTAATAATATATTTACTGAGAAAAATGGTGACGTGTTCAATATTTATTTTACCCGCTATAATTGCCTCCCTTAAATACCCTTTGTTATAACTGGAGTCACCTGTGTATGGAGGTTAAGGGTCACAGAACTTACCAAACCAAATTTAAGTTCCAATAATTGGTTCTAAAGGTTTTGAAATCAGTAAAACGGCAACATTGTCCAAATTTATGCACCTGCCTAACTTTGTTTAACCAATTATTGCACAATTTCTGTAAATCATATAAATTTCATTTCACTTCTCAAATATCACAGTGCTTGTCCCCTATGTAATATATTTAACTGATTTTTTTATTCAAAAAAATCAATGATTTACAAAGATAAATCAGGAAAATTAACAAGGGTGCCCAGACGTTTTTATATGACTGTAATAACACCCCTCTGGTTTCATCAACACAACACAGCAGAACCTTATGAGGAAGTCATTTATTGAGGGATACAGACACAAAATAACAACCGATGCATTTCCAAATTCAGCATTTTTTCATCTATTTAACATTTTCACTTTGACTGAAATCATCTGATTTCTCGTCTGAACTTTACAATTCTCCTTCTGTATAACTTTGGCAATAAAGACTTGCAGTTCTTGCCAGTAAGGCAGTCTAAATTAGAGATAGGAGAGCATATAGTGAACAGAGACATAGAGAACGATTAGAGCGCTAAGAGTCTGGATGAGATCTTAATAGTCCACAGGTATACTATCTCCTTATTATTACCTATATACATCAGAACATAGTTTAGGCCCACGTACACAATAACAAAGTGACAGAGAAGCACTTGAACATTGACGCCACAAACCAAAGCTCCGATGCAGCTGCTGACAGATGGGTTTTAGTGGCTTTAATGGGGGGACGAATAGAGTCAGAGAAGACTGGGATGTTTTGGTTTGTTTTTGAAGATGCTTGTTTCATGGAATCGTTTAAAAACAGATCATCATGCAGTTTTCTCTGTCTGTTGGCAAAATTATCTGATGAACCACGGGATGGATTTTAATGAAACTTTAAGTACAAGTTTAGGAGTCAACTCAATTCAAGATGGCCACCACAGCTAATCAATCTTAGCAAATAAACATTCTTGTGACTCTAGAACTATTACAGATACTGAGCTGAAGTTTGAGGTGGTAGTAGCTGAGAATAACTCAACTCTTTTGAGAACCAAAGGTGCATAAAGTACTTTTAAAAAGTAAACTTTAACGGAAAACGACTTTGGTAAAAATGAATGTCACTGATAAGAATAGTATTCAAGTAAAAATGAGAGAACTCTTCAAAAGAAGTGGGAAAGTAAAAATAAAAATATTTTTACACTCAAAAAACAGATGTGTTGGTTTCACTCAACTCAGTTTAGTGGAACAAGTTGGCAAAATTTGGTTCAGTAAATTCAACACTTACGTTTTTTTTAGTGCAGAAATAACTCTTTTCATGATGAGTTCAGTCATATTTAAATTTGCAACGTGTAATTAGGTCAGGGCTGTTCAACTAAATTGCTGCGGGGGCCGTGGTTACTTAAAGCCAACAGTTCGGAGTCCAGACTCCCCCACCAAACCCCGCCCCCCTGTTGTCCATTAATGGTAAGACCCTGCACATGTAACAAAAGTGTCATCTTTTACCGTTTAAATTTGTTTATTTCGTTGTATTGAAACAGAAATTGTAAATTTACAAATTATTTGAAAATGTATTTTATAAGTGATGTAAAAAAAGTTATAATAATAATATTGCGGGGGTCATAGGCGGGCCAGATGTGGCCCACAAGCCACCAGATGAGTAGCCCTAAACTAAGAGTTACTGTAAATAATTATGATAAAAAGTATCATTATTAAGTTTTTTTGAATGTGACAAAATAAAAGTAAACGTTTCAGTTAAAACAAATCCTTAAAATGACTTTGAAGCCATGAATCTGTCAACATTTTTAGGCGTATTTTGAAGTATCGTATTAGAAAAGGCTGATGGAAACGACAAAATTCAAAGAAAAAAAAACATCCTAAATTTCGCAAAAAAAGGTTTTTACACTCACTTCAGATAGTTTTCAAAAGAGTTGATGCACAATAGGGGAGATGGAAACACATTTACTGAATAAGTTTTGATGTAGCGAACATTTACCTCACATTTACCTGATCGGCTGTTCCTGCTGTCTGCGATATTTCCATAACACACAAAACCATGGCTGGAAACCACAACAGGAACATGTGGTCCCTGCTAGTTTGCCACCTCTACTTCCTGTTTACTACAGCCATGCGTAATGTCAAACTGTTTTGCGTAGCCTGGTTGATTTGCCCTAAACCAGGGCTATTCAACTGGCGGCCTGCGGGCCGGATGTGGCCCGCGAGTGACCAAAGTTTGGCCTTCCAATTAGTTTATTCATCTTTTAAGCCCAAACCCCCGGTTTTCTACTTTAATTACTCTTAGTTCTTTTAGGTAAACATAGACATGTTTGGTATCTAGAGAAGCGTCACAATCTTGGCTAGAAGCTGGTAAAAACTATTTCTATAAACACTCAAGACAGTTAAAACTACAAGCAGTTGAAGATAAAATGATGAAAGTGAAAATAAAACTGGTTTAAAATTTTGGCAAGTCAGAGATATCAAAAATAATATTTGTGTCTAATAATAGGAGGCATGATGTGTTATTTTTGTTTTTGATAATGTGTAATTATCACTACTTTTAAAGGGTTCTGTATGTTTTATTCATGATTAAATGCAGCAAAATAAACTAACTCAAAGGTAACAGATCTTTGTAATACTTGGTTTATTTACATAATAACTTTAATTGCTGTTATTATTTACATAATAACTTTAATTGCTGGATGTTCGGCCCCTCAGCTGTTGACCTGCAGTAACTGTGGCCCCTGGAGCAGTTTAATTGAATAGCCCTGCTCTAAACCATTGGATGGAAACATGGCTAACTCACTTTTTTGATTTTCTTTTCTTAATTGCGAAATTTTAAAACTTAGCTCAAAATTCGTATTACAATTGAATGGAAAGAGCTTGTATCAAAGTAAATGTACTTTGTTACTAAACATGTCTGCTAAGCACTAATAGCAATTCCATGTGAGAATAACCTTTTTTCCTAAATTTGAGCAAAACTGCCATAACTGTCATTTTCCATTAAAAAGACGGTCTCTGTTTGAATATTTGGCATGAGAGGTGGTGAGTGATTTGCACTCCTTAGCTTTCAGTGTTTGAGTTGTCTCAGTTGTCAGCACCTGAATGGGAGTTTAACAGTTACAGTTTGCTCATCAGTACAGCACAGGTGGACACCTATGAAGGAGGTGGAATGTATCGTGGAGGCTGTTTTCCACACAGAGAGAAGTGAAGGTGCCCCTCAGCCCTGCTAACTGTGTGTGACTGCTACTACAACACAACAACTCACAAAAGATTAAACAATGAATTCAACCAACTGGGTTTATGATGCTTCATTAACAGCTTGGATCGAACGAACAGAACCCAAAAAACAACGAACGTGCAAATGGACGACCCATTCATCCCTCACTCATACGCACACCTGGCCACACACACACACACACACACACACACACACCGACTGGATTGTTCACACATATACACACTTTATACTAAGATACAACTTTTGTTCCTAAGAGAACATCGAGCTGATAATTAACACTTGGAGGGGTGTTGTACAATAAATAATACAATACTGAATGGAACTCGGCCTACATATAGGCAAATTAGTCCCTCCCCAAATGCGCACACACAAAAACACACGCACACACTCTACATACACACACTCCCATGCAATGAAAACAGCTGATGTGCCATGCTGCGTTCTGGAACGATGAGGGCAGCATGGCTGCTCGGATACTTTAACATGGAAGCAGCGGCTGCGGGTGGTGGCGGTCTGGGTGGACGGTTCTTGTTGAGGGTGGAGGGTTCCAGAGACTGATACCGAGTAGTGGACCTGCTAAGCAAACCTGGATCACAGGCGAGCGACAAGCGCACGTACACATACACCACAAGACAAAGTACCATACTGTACATAGATATATGGACGTCTTCACCTGGCAGGAAACTGAGGTTCAGTGGTGCAGAGGGGAGGAGGGGGAGTGGGGGGGACAGACTGGATGAGGGTGCGAAGGTAAGGGCCTGAGGCATCCCTTCAGCTGATTACGGCGGGGCTTGTCTTGTAGGAGATGGGGGTGGCCGCCGACTACGGAGAGAAGGAGGCGATGAAGAGTGCAGAGGAGGAAGAGTGAAACGTCAACAGAAACAATAAAAAAAGCAAGTCAAGAGAAATAAACTTTAATATTTAGCTTTTCCACAAGTTGAAAAAACAGAAATTAGGTCAGAAATGGCATAAAAAATACTTTAAAATGTCTGACGTTGCAGGTTTGAGTTATTAGAAGTCGAATTTATGGTTATGGTGAGTGTGGATGGATATTTGAGCGGAGGCCTTGTAGTGGGCCCATTGCTCTCCCCAAAAAGACACTGGTTTTTACTCAAATGAAAAAAAAAATTGGGATTTGTTTACTTACTGATTTTTAAAAGCACCACACATTCTGTAGTTTTTTTTTCTTAGGTGAATAGTGATATATTTTATGTGACTATTTTTGTGATTAAAATGATAATTTTCTGTACAGACTGGTCTGGGTGGCTATCAAAAATGGTTACCCAGAGCAGGAGGTACATATATGACTGACTGACTGACTGACTGACTGACTGACTGACTGATCGATCGATCCCAAGGGGAAATTACAGTTTACATTTTACTTTACATTTTTCAAACAAAATAAACAAAACCTTATTGATTATTTGGTTAGAAAAAGATGCTTTTGTGGAAAGGCTACTCACCTGGGGATGCTAGGAGGGGCCCTGTTTGGGCGACTGGGAGCCTGGGGACTCTCAGCATTGTTATTGAAGGGTCCCAAGGGACCCGGGCGGTTTGGTGGTGGTGGGGCCCCTCGTGGAGCTGGTCGCTGGCCTGAAGACATCCTTCTGGGAGCTGTGGGGCTGGGAGGAGGAGACCTGGGCAAAAACAAATAATTAGAAGTTTCCTCAGCACCAGTTTGGTTCTATTTCTAAGAATGCTTTTCTGAATCGCCCTCTAACCTACCTGCGACCACCGCTAGACCCTCCCACCCAGGAGGTGTCGACAGGTGGAGGCAGGGGGACGGTGACAGTGGTGGTGGAGATGTCACCAATTATGGCCAGGGCCTCTTTCAGAGCCTGGTGGGTCCTCAGCACCTCGTCCCTCCTCTGGGCCTGCTCCTGGGACTCATCCATCAGGGCGTTCTGGTCCCCTGCAGAGTACAGGCAGGCCAACAGCTCCGCGTTGATGAAGTCCTTCACCTGTTAGCAGGAAGAGATGTTTAACAACTGGGACAGGAAAAGATTCATGTGTGATTGTAATTTTTTCTCAGGAGCAAATAACAATAATTAGCAGCAACTTCATATTTAAGTTCTGTGACGGTCAGAGGAAAGCAGTGAGTAAAATTCATGAGCAATAGGAAAGTAGGACCGTTTTCCTCCTGGCTAGCGAACCCCTCACACTGTCCCCAGGAATTACTTGTGACCTCATTCTTTTAGTCAGTACCCATAACTCATGACCCTGAGTGAGGCTTGGAATGTAGGTTGATCAGTAAATTAACAGTTTTGCTTTTTATTTCAGCTCTCTCTTATCTCTGTATCTGCAGATACTCTCTGTCCTCCCATCCTGTCCACATGTGTGAACAAGAACCTGACACACTTGAACTCCTCCATTCGGGGCAGTGGTCCATTCCCAAATTGGAGTTGGTGATTCACCCTTTCCCAACCGTCAGACTTAGAGGTGCTGGTCTTCATCCTGGCCACTTCAGTGTCTGCTGGAGGTTCCAGCTCAACGGGCCTAATGCAAGAACATGTTCGTATTCTTCTCCTAAATTTCTCTTACTTTTGTTCGTACGAAGGGTTCTTACGAACATGTCACGTCAGATTCAACAAACTCTTCTATCTTCAGGAAAAGTGTGTAAATGAATTACACCTGTTCGTATCAGCTGCTCGTGCACGCGAGAAACACCATATAAGGCTGTTTCCTGCCTCAGATACAAGGA